CCCCCGCCGCGCCGCGGTGCCGGGCGCCTGGGACGAGTAAGTGCGGCGGAGGCGGCGGGGGCCCAGCCCGGCCGGTCCCAAGCCCGGAGCCGCCCGCCTCGCGGAGCTCCTCGGGAGGGGCGGTCGGCGTCGCCGGCGCGCCCGGCCTCCCGCGCTCGGACCGTCCCGGCCGGCTGCCCGCCCGGGGGGGCGCCTCGCAGGCTGGCCGCCTGGCTTCGCTCCTGGCCGGGGGCGCCGGGTCAGCCGGGCGGAGCGGCTGCTTGGTCGCAACTGGCGCAAGCTTGACCGGGAAGTTTTATTTAGTAAGCTACGAAGCGCTACTCAGAATTGTGGAAATCCGGTGGCGAGTTCCGGAGATCCAAGCACCCCCATAATAAAACGTTGTAGTTATCGATAGTCGCAATAATTGACATGGGTTTTGCCTTCCCCACGTGCCAGAGCTGCACAGGGTTTTACTATCTGTATTTGTTAATTACCTTGTAAGCTGCTTTCTGAAGGCAGCATGACCCTGAGGGTAGGCTTTTGAACCATCTTTTGAACCAGTAATCACAAGGAACTGCCTTCCCGTTGGTCTCCCGTTGTTGCGTCCAAACAATTGTCTTTAAAAGCCTAGCAGGCCTAGAAGTTTAGAAGAGAACAGTTTGGGATAAGGATTGCGTAATTAAAATGTCGTTGTCATAGCTTCACATGGGAGACTGTGGAAGAGGAGGATCTCGCAGCAGACAGTCCCAAGTTACTTGCTGTCAGCAAAACCCGTGAACTTTGTATATATGAAGTTATTCTGGAGGCCGGAAAATGTCATGTGACACAGTTCCAGACCTGCGGAGAACACAGACTGAAGAAACTGATTGCAGCTAAAAATATTAGTGAGTACTAAAAGAATAGATGGTGTGGGCATCATCCTGGCTTGTATGCCCCAGTCATATTGTAGGTGGACTCTATGGTATCTGAGGATACCCAGGGAAGCTGGCGGGACTCTTCCAAATGTGGAATGCGCACAGATGCTCCTGGCACTGGCTTATGCTGCTGCGTTAGGCGTACGCATTTGATATTGTTTCTCTGCATGCTTTATTGCTTCATCTGAAACGATGATGAACTGGTTTAAAACTGGTCTTGTCCTAATTCTGCAGGTTTATCTTCCATCTCCACTTTGAAGGTACTGTCATTTAAAAATGGCAGAGCGTTGCTGCTGCTGAACAACTTCATTGTGGTGCAGCTTGCTTTTCTTGGAGGAGAACGGGAGACAGAAGAGCTGGAGAAGTGCTTCCAACTTGAGCTGTCTGCAGAGGTGTTGGGACAGATAGTTGACAGCACCATGTGTAGAGGAATCCTCTTCTTGTTAGACAAGTCTGGATGGATATGTATCCTTTAAGTCATAAATGGGGAACCGAATCTTACTCAACAATCTCTTCTTCAAGACCCTGCATTTTCCGAAGGGTTCTGGAAAAGCAGCTCTGCTTGACGGCTCTGCCTGTCTCTTCCCTCTGCAGTTTAATTTGTGATGCATTTCAAGACATAAGCAGGGGAGAGGGGATAACGGATAGGAGGAAGCGATGTAGGCTGCTTTTCTGATTCCGGTGTTGGCAGTGTGGTGTTACTGAGCATCTGTTGGTCTGAAGGTGGCAAAAGTTTTGTTTGCATTCCCCTCTCTCCCCCACACTTTCCAGGCTTCTCTTGCAATGGAAAAAGAACTTCAAAGCGAAAACTGAAGTCTGCTAAACAGCTGCTGCCCATCTTCTTGAAAACCAAGATATAGTTGTCAGAAGTAATAGACATCACTCATTCATTTCCTGGAATGTTCTTTCCTTTTTGTTTTTGCTCCTGTCCCATTTTCCTCTGCCAAGTTATGGGTGGTACATGAAACTGTGCAACTTGCCCTCTCATAATTTTGGTTCACTTTCTTTGAATATCTTTTTTTATCCATCTTTGTCGTGGCACCAACATTTGTCTTCTCTCCCAATTGGATTCGTTAAACCTAACTGATCTCCTCCTCGTTCCGTTTGTAATCTTGAATATTTTGATATGGCAGATGAGCACTATTAATGGCAACAAGTAGAATGCTTTTACTACCTGTGTGTACTTTCTGTGGGAAGATTTGCATGCAGGTGTAATGGCAGGTGAAGAGTGGCACTGTGCTTCAGGAGAATGGTCTGTCTTTAAGGGTGCCACAACATTTTTTGTCTTTGTGGGAAGCCCAGGACCATTTGGACTGTTGTGGAAAGTACCTTTTGAGCTAGTGAACTTAGGCAAAATTTCTTAAGTGTAAATTCTGTGGAAATTCTGGCTTACTTGCAAGTAAATGTGCCCACGTTGCCCTCCTCCATACACTTAACCATTTAATGTTCAAGGCCTGCTTCTAAATGGCCACTGGCAGTATAGAAACATGGTTCATCATCATCATCCTCAAACATGCGCGGTGTGGTGCTGTTCAGATGACAGGTTTTCCCTTGGTATGTGAGTCTCTTCTGTAGCTGGCCAGCGACTCTCCTTGACATGGTTACAAGATGTCTTTGATGCCGCTGAAGGTGCCCGTCTGGCCCAGGTCAATGTTTCCCTCTATCAAGCAGAGGGGCACGAAGACAAGAACTCGGGCACCCCGTGTCCCCTTACCCTGCTGCGTGTCGCACGTGACCTGAGTGTCGCTGTGGTTGCCAACAGCTCCAACTATGTCGCAGCCATTGATCTCCAGTTATACTTCCGGTAGGTGGATGGATCTGTCTGGAACTGGGGCAGAGATCTTTGGTCCCTCTGTGGGACTCTGGATGGCAGGGGAGCCTGCGGTTCAGAGCAGCAGTATTCTAGCCGATTGAATGATATTTCATTCTGTGTATATTTCTATTCATGTTTACAGTCTAAGTTTTTAATGTTCTAAGGTGGCTTGATTCCTAGTGCTGGGAATAGGCTGAATATAAATAAATATATTAATGGTGATTATGAAAGTGATGCCTTGGTTAGATCCAGATTCAGTACTGCAGTGCATTCTATACAGGGCTGTCCATGAAAAGTGTTTGGAAAATTAGTTGGCCTGCAATCCAATCAATGAATTGGATCAATTCATCGATAATCAATCAATGAATGCCACTTTGCCCTCAGAGAGTATCCGGATCACTTACTTTGCAAGAGGAGTTTTGACAACCTTCCTATAGAACAACTGCAGGGGACGGATGAGGATGACATCAGAAGTTCCGATTATAATATGAAATTTGTGCCGTGTGCCTTCCGGACAGACAGGTACGCTTGCAGAACTGCCGCTGCACCTTTCGGGGAGGTGGATTTTTTTGCAAAGCTGCTTTCTGGGGCCAGAGGCTTGCAGGCCGAGGCCACTGATACGGCCCGCCTGTTACTTGGGCTGTTGCAAGTAAAACAGCTTTTGGAGACGGGGATGAATCCTGGAATAGCCGAGTTGGGAGGGGCCTGGAGGCCATCAAGTCCAGCCCCCTGCTTAGTGCAGGACACCCAGTTAACCCGCCTCCCTCGGACGGCTGTCCGGCTGCACATGTCTTGCTTCCTCACCATAGGACATGATGGCAGCGTTGGAGATGCATTGGTCTGGCTTTGTTTAAAGGAGAAGTAGGCGACAAGAGTTAAGCAGTTACGGTCCTTCATCGTAGATGTTCCAAGAGAGAGCTAGTGGCCTGTGGCTTAAATTAAGGAGCAATCTGGAAGCGAGTACAGAGTTGGCAGCAGAGAATGTACTCTTAGAAGGGCATTAAGGGGGTTCGTGATACAAAATTCGCAGTTCGAGAGGAGTCATCACTAGAGCCCTAAGCAAATATTCCTCAAAGCAGGATCTTCATGCTCTGGAGCCTAACTTTTTTCCTGGGTTGGGAATAGTTGTAGCTAGGTAGAACCCTTGTTCTTGAGCTGGCCCTTTAAGAGTCCCAGGCAGTGAAAACAGACCCTAGCGCAGTTTCTACACCCAGTAGATCTGTGCTAGCTTGGGTTCAAGGATGTAGGCACAAGATTGGCCAGTGTAAAGCCTTGGCCTATTAGAAGGTGCATGTTATTTTAGGAACTGATGTTACTGTGGTCCAGGGGTTCAGGAATCCCCTGGGCAAGAAGAGGCTCCGAGTGTCAGGGAGGTTTCCCCTCGGAGCTGCTACTGAAAGGGTCCTTGGCAGATCAGCGACAGCAATGGCTTGTTGCAGTACCCAAACATTTTCTAGTAGAGGCCCAGGTCTGCCTAGACACTTTCTCTACAATTGTTTTGCTGGCATTATTACGGTTAATATCACTTCAGTTTGTGCAGTGAATCCAGCCTAGCCAGGTAACACAATACCTACATTTTATTTCATGGACAACCACAACTCTGCTTATTAGGAAGGTGGAATCATTTTCTTCCTTTTTTCCCAGGTCCTGGAAGGCGTGCCTATCTTCCTTATCTAATGCAGCAAAGAGATTTCAGGCACCAAGTTTGGAAGCTTACAGGTGTCCGCCTTGGTACCAGTACCTCCCACACCTGGAGGACTATGGTTATACACCCCAAGAAGCTTCTAAAATCTCGCTGCTTCAGGATGCTGCTCATGTCCTAGCAACCCCAAGAGGGAAAGCTCAAAAACGTGCAAGTATACCAGACAGAGGATGGAAGAACATTTATTCGGGAGACCAGGAAGGTTGTGTCAGCCTTGAATGTAAATCTGTGACAGCTTTTAGTGCATTACTCACCATCTCAACAGAGAGTGAAGGACTGATTCTTGTTCTGTGGGATTTGGAGACTCAAGATGTGAGGCATGCGTGTGTGGGCAGAAACGCAGTTTTTGTGGAGTGCAGCCCAGAGGAGCAGTTAGGCCTCGTCTTTTCAGGTGAGTGTGCTGCTATGCCGTTAAAAAGCAAAGTCCCTTTCTAGCCCCTGTGCAGAGCGAGATTGTCTGGACGTAAGAGCATCGCTGCGAATGCCTGAAGAAAGGTTTGTTCCTCTTCACCTAAGCACCCTGTACGTTGGCAATCGCGATACGAAATGTATGAGTAACCTCTTTCTCTCTGATAACCCTTAGAGCCTGGTCTCTCCTTCTTTCTGTTTGGCATGACTCAACAGGAATTCTTGAACCGACTAATAATCCACGGCAGCGCTGGCACCGTGGACGCCCTTTGCCAGCTGAATGCATGGGGGCGGTGCTCCATTCCTGTACATGCCTTGGAGGTAAGGAGCAGGTGTGGGTCTTGGGGAGCAGCGCCTCTCTCCTCTGTGGCCTTAGAGGTGGCGGGTCCTTTCAGTTGCTGGAGACGCTTCCTGGACCGTCGCCCACCTTCCGTTTCTTGGCCTGTGAAGAGCAGGCAGTCCTGCGTCACGTTCTTTATGGCACTGAGTTCAAACAACCCCACATGGTCCGTAAGCGTGTGAACAGTGATGCAGTAGGTGTGTCTACTTGGCCTTCCAAAAGGCTTTTGGGAGTTCCTTGCCGAAGGCTCCTGAGCAAACGAAGTGGTCATGGGGTAAAGGAGGGTCCTCTTACGGACCACTGACTGGCTAAAGACCAGAAGACAGAGGGTGGGAAGAAATGGCCACTCCTCCCAACAGGGAGAGGTCGCCAGTGGAGCCCCACAGGGCTCTGCACCGAAACCAAGGCTTTTTGACCTATTACTATCCAGCTCTGCCTTCCCAGTCCTGGTCCACTGGGTTGTCCTTCTCTTCACAAGAAAACCAGAAAACCATCCTTTAAAGCTTCTGTTTGATAGTGCATTTTTAACTGTAACTTCATTTTTATTTAGGCTGGTTTAGAGAATCGTCAGTTGGACACGGTGGATTTTTTTTTAAAGAACAAAGAGAATCTTTTCAGTGAATTCTCTGCTTGCTCCTTCGAAGATCAGCCTGCCAGCAAAATGTCAGCTCTTTACTTGGAGAGTAAGTAAAACTAGGGCGATTCCAATCAGCACTGTTTTGTTGTAGGCCCAGGCCCCGTTTACGCGTAACTGCAAGCCCTGCTGGAGACAGCTTGTTGTCATGCATGAATTCGCTGGGCGTGGTAAAGCGTGGCCCTGGATGCCCACAGTCTGGCCCACGGTTTTCACGTTTCAGCATTGCTTGTCGTCTGTGAGTTTACTCACAATGCTTTTCTGCGGTTCTCCCTTTTTGGACTGTGAGTTTGGCCATGAGAGTGGCTGCGGATGCTCCAGCCGCCATTTTCTGCTGCCCTCTTCCGCCTAGTGATGGATGAGTTGCCAGCAGGCAGGTGCCACTGGGCTGGCTCTGTGCCCCCTGCCCTCCCTCCTGGTGCTCTTCCCGGGGCTTGGCTGCCCCATCTGCTGCCCCGGCGGCTGCCCGGTCGCCATGCCACTGCCCTGCCTTGTCCAAATGTCTGCGAACTTGCCTGCCTCACGGGGAGCCTGGCACCCCGGGGAGTGCACAGGCAGGTGTCCTGGCTGTGGGGAGAGCATGCCAGGGGAGGGCGCGGGGCACTTCCCCCAGCGACAGCCGCAAGGAAGGCGGTGTGTGGCGCTCCTGCCAGGGCATTGCCCTGTGCGGGGCCTCTCCGCCAGGGCCAGCAACCTGGGAGCCCAGGTCTCGCACCCCCACCCTGCCCCTGACTCCCCACGGCACTCCCCCGGCAGCCTCCTGAGCAGATGCCCAGACACGCTTCTGGGGAACGTGTGCCCAGGGGCTGCTGCCCCCCGTCCTGGCCCAGTGGGCGCACTCCTGCCTGGGTGCAGAGCGAGGAAGCCGTGGCGGGTGCGGTCCTGCTGCCCCTGCAGAACCACTGTCCTCCTCGAGCGTGGAGCTGGCGGCTCTGTGCCGCAGCGGGCCAGGAAGAGGCGCACGTGCCGAGGGAGAAGGCAGCCAGCAGGGAAACACCCTGGGAAGCACGCAGGCCAGTGGAGGAGAGGCAGGCGGGATTGGGGCCTGCTGGAATTGACTCCCAGCGGCAGAGGCTGATGGGATACGTGCCTCCACTTGGAGGGAGGATGGGGATGTGTGGAAACTACCCGGGAGTAGCTGCCGTGCAGATATCTCAGGAGGCACACACAGAACACGAGGCTTGCTGGAGCATTGTGTGTGTCCGCGGCCACAGAGAGCCAGGAGGGCGTTGTTTGCCAGGAATTAATGCTGCTCAAATCACTCTGGGAAGAGAAGGGGCTCTACACTTGCCCAAAGTCTGTTCAGGTGCTTTGTGCTCAGGAAAGAAACTGAAGTATTCTCTGCGTTAGCAAAACCTGTCATGGAGTGAATTGCATAAGCTTGGTAGATAATTCATGACAGGGAACATCTTTATTTGTGTTCCGCAAATCCACTTTCAAGCAATTTCTCCATCTGTCTCTGCTTTCCAATTCCCTCTCCCAGGTATGCAAGAGCTGAGGCCGGCCCTGGACTTGCTTTGCAAGGCAATCCAAGAAAATGACTTGGAAACACAGAGCAAGCATTTCTCGGAGCAGTTGCTGAACCTCACCCTGTCCTTCCTTAACAAGCAGCTCCGTGATATTTTCATCCATAAAGAAGGTAGAGTCTGTGGCACACCTGCTGCCTGAGGCAGGACTGTGCTCTGCAGCTGTCTTGTAATGGTCCGGCTTTCAATTGGTTTGTTAGTTGTAAGCTGTGAGCTCCTGTGTCAAGCTAGAAGGGTGACATTTTAAATAATCAGAACGCAAGTCTCAGTCCTGCAAACAGCATGTCATGAAATATCTAGTTCTAAAATCCTTTGTGCGTTTCACTTGGCAGTGAGCGCTAGCGGGCCATTCTGCATTCTTGGGATGTGCTTCTGCACAGACATTTCTAGGATGCCACTCATGCCTGGGTGGTAAAGCTGTGATCCACAAAACTGTTGAGCCTGTGTTCCTGTTCACCTGGGCATCAAGGGCCCCTCTTGGCAGTGGGCCTCTGCAGCTTCCTGTTGCTTGGTGGTCTTCCTTCAGGGGCTGAGGTGCCAGAAACAACTTTCCCATCCCCAGTTGCACAGTCTTGCGAGTTAGGCCAGGCTGCAAGATGGCGGCCCGCATGTGACTGCACCGGGATTTCAGCCCTGGTCCCTGCGGGGCAGTCCCACGGCTGGCTGCAGCGCTGAGTTGGTGCCTCGGGACCTGGCAGCGTGGGCAGTGCTGTTTCAGCCTTCCCCGTCTCCCAGGGAGCAGGTTTCAGCCATCCTTTCTCTGACACCTTTTCCTGACTTTCTTCACAGAACTGGATGACAATCTGAACAGATGTGTTGATATTTTAACCAGCTACATCACTAAGCTTAGGGCGTTTATGATAAAGTTTCCTCACAAGCCATCCGGTGTGGGGAGCCTGCGCTGCAATCTCGAAGACGTACCCCTGATAGAACAAAGTGCGATGTGGGAAGAGTTCAGCATGGAGGTAACCAGCCCGCCCGTTTTCGCTCCTGAGAAGCAGTTGTCATTCCAACTTATTGCAAATAGACCGATTCGCACACATGTTTGCAGGCAGAGATAGCGAACTGGCACTGCATTTTGGATGCAGTCTGGCCAAAGAGCTGCATTTCTAGTTCCTGTTGATTCCGGTGAGCGGGAGCCACCCCAGGGACTGCCCCGCTGCACCGGTCAGATCAGCAGCAGGCAGCACGGCCAGCGCATTGGCTGGCGACTGCTGCCAAAGGCCACGCTGGGGGTGGCTAGGAAAGCACTCGCAAAGGAGCCGATGCTGCTCGAATGCCCGCAGGCAGATCGCTGGCGGGAATCGATGTGGAGCTCGGTGCACAGCTCCGTGGCCCCTCCCGGTCCAGGCTCTGTGCGCCGCAGAATGCTAGTTTCCCGAAATGTGGTGTTCGGCGTGTGTTTGTGGGGGAAGGGCTGTTGCAGCTGCAAAACCTGCTCCTTGAATCGTAATCACATTCAGTTTCCTCTTCCAGCAAACTGTTGCTGAGGCCATTTTAAACAACAAGCTGCCAGAGGCCCAGACCTTTTTCCAGCTGACTCACAATCCTGCCTGCAGTCTCAAGGCACTGAAAAGGATTGGGCAGGATCTGGTTTACAAGAGCCTGCTGAACAACGACCTCAAGGAAGCCTCCAGACTCCTGAGAAATATGGTGAGTCACACAGGCTGTGTTGTGAAAGCTGGACCACAAGGAAGGCTGAGCGCCGAAGGGTTGAGGCCTTTGAATTGTGGTGCTGGAGGAGACTCCTGCGAGTCCCCTGGACTGCAAGGCGATCAAACCGGTCAACCCTGGAGGAGATCAACCCTGACTGCTCTTTGGAAGGCCAGATCCTGAAGATGAAGCTCAAATACTTTGGCCACCTAATGAGAAGGAAGGACTCACTGGAGAAGATCCTGATGCTGGGAATGATTGATGTCAAAAGGAGAAGGGGACGGCAGAGGATGAGGTGGCTGGATGGAGTCACTGGGGCAGTGGGTGTGTGCTTGGGTGGACGCTGGGGGATGGTGGAGGACAGGAAGGCCCGGAGGAGTGTTATCCATGGGGTCACGATGAGTCGGACACAACTTCCCGACTAACAACAACAATGACACAGGCCCAGCACTCAGCCTGGTCTGAATTTGGTTTTCAGTGTGTTTGTAGGTATGCAAATTGGGAGATGGGTGCTTTTTCTTCAGGTGCTTTTCCCATCCAAAGAAGGAGTCCCTCAAAGCAGTTTACAGAACACCAAACTGCACCCCCCGAGGGGCTTTGGCGCACACTGAACCCAAAAGGTTCCTCCACACCCGTAGCTTGGCAAGCCCCAAAGAGGTCTCTGCAGCCAGTTCAGGAGGAGGAGCCCCACCCCGCCCGGCCCCCTGGGTGGCTGTAAGAAAAGCAGCAGCATAGATGAAACTGATGAGTGATCTTGTTTTCCTTTTCTCCATGTTCTGTTTGCTGAAGCAGGGAAGCAGCTGATAAAGGGGGAAATACTTCTCAAGGCACGAGCCAGCAAGTGTTAGCTTTTAAAAACTCGTTTGGCACACTGTCTGTTAAACTATCTATAGCCAAGTTGTCAAATATTTTGCAATGCGCATACGTGTGTGCATTTGTGTATTTGCATACATAGTGCCTGCAAGGGGAGTGATTCCACAAAGCATTGCTTGACACAACAGAAGTTGCTTTTGCCTTTGCTAGGGCTTCAATGTGATGGAGCAGCTCCACCGAGTGTGTTTCTATGCAAGCAACTGGCGTGTCCGGGACTTCTTGGTGAGTGTATCTGCCGACTGCCGCTTTTTAATCCTCACCCCTGCATGCAAAGCTCGATGGTTTGGGCTTTCTTGCCTCGCTTTTTCCCCGGCCCAAATGGCGTGGGACCCCATCCACGTTCCAGAGATTACTGACCTTCTGAGCTGCTGCTTTGGCGTCCGTAGCTGACGTACAAGTGCCACCGTGGTGAGACCATCACCATCTCCTAGTTGTTGGACACAGCGGGTGCATTTATGGGCCATGCTGACCCCCTTTGGCAGTAAGCCAGGGTGGGTGGGTGGGTGGGTGCCCAGAGCAGCTGTGCTGCACCTTAGGCAATCGGGTAGGGCGGCTGATGCCTGGGAGGGCAGAGGCAGGACTCAGGGTGACCTTGATGGGCCGAAAGCAGCAGAACGGAGCTCGCCAGGGACGAGCGCAGGGGAGCCAAACGCAGGTGCACGGTGGGAGACGCTTGGCTCGGCAGTCCTGCGGGCGGGAAGGACCTTGGAAGTGCTGAAGGCCATGAACCGAGTATGGGCCAGCCACGTGCCGTGGCTGCCCAGAAGGGCACCCGAGAGGGGTGGCTTAACTTGGGGGTCCTGCATCATGCAGGGGGTGGGATCCGACGGCCGCCTGGGCCCCATCCAGCTCTACCACTCTGTGATCCTGTAGGACAGCTTGCTGCATCTCGTCGCACGTGCTGTGCTTTCCGATTCATGTAGCTCCAAATGTCCGGACCCACAGTCAGCCTTTCCTTCCGCTCACATTTACCATCTGGTAACAAACCTCGCTTGAAAAGTTGCACCTCCACTGGTTTGAGAACACACACATTCCAATTTCAATTTGATTCTGCAGGTGAAGACGCTGCAAGACAAAGACTACTTCTCTGAAGCAGAAAAAGAAATGATAGATTTCGTGCATCGGGTGGAAAAAGTTTATTCAACAGCACTTCCGGAGCATGAAAAGAAAGCAGCCCCGTGCAGGTAATGCATTGTCAGCCTTGTGAAAACAAACTATCACATCCCGGATTGGTGTCCTGGAAGCAGCAGCCATGCCAAGTTTGGACTGCCCAGCCCTGCAGTCAGTTGAACAGCCGTTCTTTTGTTCTCTAGCCTTCTCCAGCTGCCCTCTTAAATTTTGTGGCAGAGGTGAGACCATCTGCCTTCCTGTCAACTGCTTATTGGCCAGTCTGTCCTGCCCCTGGTCCCAGCCAAGGTTGTTCCGTGTTCTGGTTTCAGAGAGGTTCATTCGTGGTTTTTGTATGGGGCATTTTTAAAACGTGGCAACACCTTTATATTAGACACAGCTGAAAGTCTGGACTCCTTTGGAAAGAGCAAGTGAATTATGCAATGGGCCTCATGGAGGTATTTGGATCTCATTTTCAGCTACTGGAGAAGGGAGCAAGGCCTTTCTGCCTATAGTGCTGCCTTGGACGCGCTTCTGAACTGCTGTGAGGACCGAGTCCATAACCACGAGCACAGGATCATGTTGAACTGGGCTCGGTGGTGGGATCGGGACACACGAGAGATGGTTCTCCTTCCAACGCAATCTCCAGGAGGTGGCAAGTACTGGGTATTCTGTAGGGAGTGGTCTGTTGCTGGAGTCCTGCGTCTTGGGACTGAGCAAACCATCCCGCTGGGGCCAAAGGAAAGGCGATGGGATGCCGGCTGAGGTCTGTTTGGAAGGGAAATCTAGTGTCCAGGTGCCTGCGAAGAGACATTCCTGTTCCCCAGTAAGCTTTGGCATTTAATTGCATTAGGCATGTTTGCTTGTTTATCTGTTTAGAAAAAATGCTCTGTCCCTCTCGTGCATTTGGAGCCATTCAAATGGCTTGCAACAACTGAACATAGAAATACAGAAACAGAGCGAGCCAGAAGGGGCCTCCCGGGCCATCTAGTCTGACCTCTGACTCCAGCCGGCTCCGCTCATGACATACCCACCATGTGGACATCCAGCCTATCCTTGAACACCCGCACCGATGGGGCCTCAACGACCTCCCGTGGAAGCCCACTCCACTCCCTTGGGGTCCTAACTGTCAGGAAGTGCTTCCTGGCATCTAAATGGAGCCTTGGTTCCCTGAGCTTTGCTCCGTTGCAGCATGTCCTGCCTTCCTCTGCAGGGGAGAACAGGTCTCTGCCCACCTCCATGTGACACCCCCTCACATGCCTGTATGTTGCCAACAGATCCCCTCTGAGTCTCCACTTCTCCAGGCTGAAGAGGCCCAGTTCCCTCAGTCTCGCCTCATACGGCATCCCCTGCAAACCGGCCACCAGCCTTGTGGCCCTTCGCTGCACTGACTCCAACCTGGCTATATCCTTCCTGTAATGAGGGGCCCAAAACTGAGCACAATACTCCAGTTGTGGGCGCACCAGAGTCGTACAGAGTGGTAGTAATACCTCAGTGTAATCTCATAGAAATAAGGAAAAGGCATAATGATGACAACTTATAGAAAAAAAGAAAGTGGCTTAGCAGATCAAAATGTTCTGAAAATAAGGACCTGCCCCATAAAAATTGCCTGGTGGACGCTCACCAAGGCAGGAATGTCTTCCCCACGTTGGCAATGAATGACGTAAGCGGGAGACACAGCCTGGCCTTGGCCAGCAAGGAGTGCCTCCTCTCCTCCTGACCAGTTGTGGCTCAGCTGTGGAGAGGACGTGGGGCGCAGCTGCTTCAGGAGAGAAAATAATATGTGGAAAGACCTCTCTGAATTTGTGAGCGCTAAGCAAGGCTGTCTGGCAGGGCAGTTCATTCACAAGGTCACCGGAAGGAGTTGGCAGCACATAACAGCAGAAGTGGCTGTGAAATGAAGCATTCCAAGCTTAGAAAAGTGTGAATATAGATGGAGAGAAAATAATACAGGTGCACCTCTATGTATGCATACCTAGATATATATTTGTTTATTTAGTAGATTTATATGCTGCTGTTCATATTTGATAGCATCTCTAAGCAGTTTGCAAGGAAATTGAAAGGAATGTTAAAAGAACATTTAAAAACCCTATGATATACATTAAAATGCAATTTAAAACTATTGTTTTAATGTTACATAGAAACAGAGCAAGTCAGAAAGGGTATCCTGGGCCATCTAGTCTGACCCCCGGCTCCAGCCAGCTCCGCTCACGACATGCCCACCTTGTGCATGTCTAGCCTCTCCTTGGACACCCACACCGATGGGGCCTCAACTACCTCCTGTGGAAGCCCATTCTATACCCTTGGGGTCCTAACTGTCAGGAAGTGCTTCCTGGCATCCAAATGGAACCTTGGCTCCCTGAGCTTTGCTCCGTTGGAACGTGTCCTGCCTTCTTCTGCAGGGGAGAACAGGTCTCTCCCCACCTCCGTGTGACAGCCCCTCGCGTACCTGTATGTTGCCAACATATCCCCTCTGAGTCTCCTCTTCTCCAGGCTGAAGAGACCCAGTTCCCTCAGTCTCGCCTCGTTTGGCATCCCCTGCAAACCGGCCACCAACCTTGTGGCCCTACGCTGCACTGACTCCAACCTGGCTATATCCTTCCTGTAATGAGGGGCCCAAAACTGAACACAATGCTCCAGTTGTTGGCACTCCATAGAGTGGTAGTAATACCTCTTTTGATCTAGAAGCCACACTTCTGGCTCTGCAACCAAGGGTGGCATTCGCCCTCTTGGCCACCGCATCACACGGCTGACTCAAGTTCAGCCTGCAGTCGACCAGCACCCCGAGGTCCCTTTCACAAGTGCTGCTCTCCAGCCACTTGTCCCCTAACCTGCACTTATGACACCCATTCCTGTGCCCCAAGTGCAAGACCTTGCACTATCCACATTGAACGCCATCCTGTTGTCTCCTGCCCACTTCCATAGTCTGTCCAGATTCTTTTGGATCTGGAATACCTGCTCCTCAGTTGTGGCCACTGCCCCAGTTTTAGTATTGCCTGCAAATTTGTTCACCCCTTCTTCCATGTCATTGATGAAGAGATTAAATAGGATCGGCCCCAGGACAGAGCCTTGGGGGACCCTGCTTGTCACTGGCCGCCATCCCGATGATTCCCCGCTAATGGTTACCTTCTGCTTTCGGTCAGTCAGCCATGCCCTAATCCACTGGACAGTGCTTTGGTGTATCCCAAAACTCCTCAGTTTCTCCACCAGGATATCATGGGGCACTTTGTCAAAGGCCTTGCTGAAATCCAGGTAAACCACATCCACTGCATCCCCTCCATCTAGCCATCTCGAAACCATGTCGTAGAATTCCACAAGGTTTGTCTGGCAGGACCTGTATTGTGGAAGCCATGTTGTTTGGCTGCCAGCCTCCCTTCCCTGTCTAGCATCACTAGATCTCTCTCTATTATGAGCCTTTCCATTTTTTTTCCTACAATGGACGTAAGGCTAACTGGTCTGTAATTCCCCATGTCCCTTCTACTATCCTTTTTGAAAATTGGGACCACTGACACCACCCTCCAGTCCTCTGGAACTTCACCCGTTCTCCATGAGGCCTCAAAAATGGAGGCCAGCGGGTGTGAGAGAACCCCTGCCAACTCTCTAAGTACTCTCGGGTGTAACCCGTCAGGGCCTGGTGCCTTTGTAATGTCCAATGCCCTGAGGAGCCCCTCGACTTCAAGGGGGGTGACTCTAATCTGTGCCCCTAAGTCCCCGGCCTCATCTAATCTCCTATGCGGATATCCCCCGTCCTGCTTTGGGGAGAACACAGAGGCAAAATAGTTATTTAGCATCTGTGCCTGTTCCCTCATATCAATCACTGGATCTCCTTCCTCCTTATTTAGTGGTCCCACCACCACAAGCCAATTGTGGTTTTTATATTTATCTCTGGATGCTGTACCATTTTTGTCTTATTTTATTTGTGCTTGTTGTAAACTGTCCCAAGACGCCAGTAATGGAATGGTATATAAAAGCTTTAAATAAATAAAGTAAAATAAAAAACAAGAACAGAATGCTCCTGTATACATGCAGTTGCCCGTGTCTCCACAGCTTTTTATACTGACTACATGTATTTACTTGTGTGAAACACAGAGTTCAAGTCATGTAATCCAGAGGTTCTTTGGACATACCTGACGTCTTGGCACGACTGGGCCAGTATCAGCGCATGGATTGCAGACTCTCAGCCTCAGGATGGTGGCTCCGACTGGCCACAACTGACCGCCGAGGCCGTTGAGCAAAGATCCTTGTGTAGCTCGTTCATGCACAATGAAATACTGGACTGCCTGGCTAGGTATGTGACGGGCCCGTCCGGATATCCAGCCTCTGCCAGGCTGTTCATATATTGCATATTGGTAGATGTCTCTCTAGCAGTGTGGAAAAGAGAACATCGCTACCGTTTACCTCGTGGTTGCTTTCCTTTCTCGTCAGGAATGGGACTTTTGTACCGGCAGAGCTAGAAAACGTTGAGCGCCTTCTCCAGAGATTGGCCCTCATTGGTGGGGTGATGCAGAACCCGCACCCTGTTCTAGAGCACGCGCCCATTGCTGGCGGAGATTTCCACGTCTGCGTTATCCATTATTGTTTAGAGCGTGGCCTGGACCATCTTCTGTACACCTATCTGGATTACTACAGGTAGGAAAACCTGTCCAGAAGTTGTTTTTGTGCAGATGTGTAAAAGAACGTGTGTGGAATAGGCTCCCCAGAGAGGTTCTCCTGGCACCAACGCTTTTTCTTTTTGGAAAACCTTTTCATTCTCCCAGTATTTTAATGTTTAATTGGTTTTAACTGTGAATTTTTGTGAATTGCTGGATGCTGAGCCATTTTTTAGCAGTGCTTGTAAACTGTCTCAAGATGCTAGTAATAGGATGGTTTATAAAAGCCTTAAATAAATAAGTAAATGATAAAACCAGGAGCAGCCCAACTAAGTGAGATTTGGAAAGAGTTGTGAAAAGTCTGTCTGCCCTGCTCATTTCCTATTCAGTAGTGAGCATACTGATCTCAAAACCGCTTTTGTAGCACTCAAAAACTTTCCCAGTCCGAGGATTTCCTTCTAGGCTTAATATACAGTGGTACCTTAATTGAACTTAATCAGTTCCAGGACTCTGGTCGTGACCCAAATTGGTCATGAGCCAAGTTAAATTTCCCCATAAGGTTCAATGTAAATAAGGTCAATCCGTTCTGTAACCACTTTTTAAATCACAAAAATGTGAAGCAAAGGGACAACAACAAAGATCGTGGCCATCTCCCCCCCACCCCAAGCACAAGTGCGGCCATCTCCCCGCCCCCCCAGCACAACCGAGATCACGCCTGTCATCCCGGCACATGCCCGTCATCCTGGCGCACTGGGGGGTGTGGGGGGGAGACGGGGCTGATCGCGGACGCACTGGGGGAGGAAGAGACGGGCACAAACGGTGTGCTGGGGGAGGGAGAGATGGACGCAGTCTCGGCCATCTGCCCCCCACCCCCAGCACGATCGCGGCCATCTCCCCACTCGGGTGAGGTGGGGAGATGGCCGCGATTACAGTTCTGTTCGTGCAGGGAAGGCGTGCCTGATCAGAGGCGGCTCCTGCAGGAAGGACAGGCGGGATCTCGGCCATCTCCCCCGCGGCTCTGCTTTGCTGCTCCCGTCTTTCCTGCAGCAGCGCGCCTCTGATCACGGACGCCTTCCCTGCACGAAAGCAACTGTGATCGTGGGCATCTCCCCACCGGGCGGTGGGGGGGTAGATGGCCCTATCTCGGTCTCCACCAAAGCGGTGTTTGTGACCCAAGTCAGAATTGTTCAGAAATTTTTTTTCGTGACCCGATTTGTTCGTGAGCCAAGGCGTTCGTGAGCCGAGGCACCACTGTACTCTTTGACCTTGGTCTCTTGTTTCACGTTCCCGCCCTCTTCATAGATGCAATAGCACCTCTCCCAGACTGTCCGGGCATCAAGGCCAGAACTGGCTTTTGCAGTTCTTGGAGCCTGGCCCCAGAGAGGTGGGACGGGGTGGAGGACGTGCCCGGCGGGTGCGTGGAGCCGCTGGTGTGCCCCCACTCCCACAGAGAGCATCCCCGGTGCTTCTCTCCCTCTGGCTGCAGCACGTTCCAGCCCGGCAGCCGCCTCCTGGGCTGCCCGCCACAGCCCCCCCGGGTTGCCAGGAGGCCAGTCCTCCTTTCAGATCTGAAGGCGATCGACACACAAGCGTGGAAGGGAAGCCAGTCTGTTACCCAGCCGAACGACGGAGATTTATGCTTACCGTGCCTCTTCTGCAGTCGGGAGCCTCACTGACCACAAGCAGTCTCCTAGCCAAGCTGGTGCAGCGCTGCTTCTGCAGTCCAGCCTGAGCTAAGGTTCAGCAGGGAGGGTTTTTCTGAGATTTCTCTTGGAAGTGGCCACCAGAGGGGCACCTGGCACTAGTCGTCTGCGGCCAGAATGGCAGGGCTGAACCAAGAGCACCTGGTGGTTGTCGGAAATGAAGATTGCTCTCTTCCTCCCTCAGCAGCTCGTACAGGTGCTAAGCTGAACGCTCCTGTCCCAGGCTTGGCACCAGGGTTAAGCTCATGAATGTCAAAACACAGAAAGCAAGATTCTTAGGGAAAGCACTTTATACCAACAAAAATGCCAGACGCCATGCCTAGTCTGGGACTGGGCAGAAGGTGGAGGGACGGAGGCATGCCAGCAGCTCCTCCCGTTCGCAGTTTTCTCCTGAAGTGCCACTGGAATTCCCACTGACAGGCCCGTATTTTCGAAGGGGGAGAATGTTCCTTTTCCTTTACATTGTACAACACTAATACATTGCTCTTGATTTTTCAGTTTATGTTCTTCCAACTGCCCCATTCTGGATGATAGATCATTGCATGAAGCTCACCCCTGGTTTGAATTTCTAGTGCAGTGTCGACGCATCGCCAGCAAACCTGGAGGTAGGGGCCACTGTGCATCTGGCTGGACGACTTGTTCGTGCAGTTCTGACAAAAGCGGAACGGATAGTGAGCCCCTGATGGATCCAGATGCGCTCGTGTTACCCCGCAAGAGTCAGGCTCACAACATCATCTGAACAGTTGTTTGTGCCGGAGGGGGAGGGAGGGGGGGAGGGAGAGAGAGAGAACTTGTGGATACTGTTTTTTTAAAGTTTGAAAACTGCTTTTGCTAAGTTGCCGGCCTTGGGGGGCTTGCTGTTTCATGGCGATTAAGTTGCGTGTCTGCCTGTGGGTTCTTCGCCACAAGAGCGCTGTTGCCTCTCCCATCCTCCATGCGCCAGATGCAGCCGTGATTTTCCACGCGAGCCTCGCGAACGCCCAGGTCTTGATTCCCAGCAACCAGGCCGGCGTGAGCAGCATGCTGCTGGAGGGACGGACGCTCCTTGCCCTGGCCTCGACCATGTACGCCCCCGGAGGGATTGACCGGGTAAGCCAGGGGAGGTTGGCAGGTTGCTGATGGAAGGGGGGCTGCTCCTGCGTCCCAGAGAGAGCGGGGTGTAGGCGGAGTGCCGGGTCCGGGCCGTGCCTCCAGGGGCTTCCCCAGCCCGGCCGCGCCCATGTCCCACCTGGAAGCCCCCAGCGGGCAGCGTTGGCGTGGGCCCTCCCCCGCCCTGCCGACCCGCTCGAGTCTCCCGTGCCATTGCCTTGGAAAGGGCAGAACACGTTCTTGCCCCCGGGGATGCCGGGCGCCAGTGGTCCTCTGGGAGACACGCTCTCCCCACTGCCTGGCAAGGCCGTCTCGCTGCTTCTTCGCTATAGGTTCTTCAGGACAGGGATGGCGGAAAGAAGGTGGATGCCCAGCTCTTCCGGATGGCGCTCATTCCGTACCCCAAGCTGCGAGCGGCCCTCTTCCCCCAGTGTGCCTCTCATGGGGCCCTGCCCTCCGACGTCTCTCTCTATCACCTGGCTCAGGTACAGACGCCGCCGGGACAGGCACGGCCCAGTGCCGCCACTCTGGGTTCCGTCTGAGCCTTCTGGCATTGAACCCGAACTGGAAACGAGGGCGTGTGATCCCAGAGGGCTCGGCCACGTCAGCCAGAAAGGCCATGAAACGGGCACACATTCGTTTGGTTTTGCTTTTAGTGCCCGACAGCTTGGTCTTCTGTTTTTAGGCACTCGTTCCGTTCGATCCTTCCAAATTGTTTGGCTGGCAGTCAGCAAACACTCTTGCCATTCCTGGTGAGTAACTTCCACGTAGAGTCAAAATGAAGTCTGTGTTGGTGGAGTCTCCCAGTATATTCTGCCGTTCTCGGGTGGAGAAGTGTGTGACCTTCCAGATGTGCTTGGGCTGCAGCCCCTTCGCTGGCCTCAAGCAGACAGGCCAGCAGCGAGGGCTGCAGCCCCAACAGGGCCGAGTGTTTCTCACCCGAAAAGCAATTTTTCTGAAGATTGTGATACTTAAGCTGTTGAGAGATTTGGCTTCAAGCAAGATCTTCGGTCTCCTGTACCAGTTGCTTATTTTTAATCAAAGCAGGGGAGCGAAACCGCTGCCCATGGGGCAGATTTTCAGTGGAGAGGGAAGTGAATTGTGGGGGGGAGAAGGGGGGAAAGAGCCGAACTGCTCTGGCAGTGCCGCTCGGCACGCGACCTCGAGCAGTTTTTCCTGAAGCCATGTGGCCCTTGGCAAAAGCTCCCCAACTCTGCTTTAAATAGTAAACGAAGGTGTATATTAAGACCTGTGGAATCAGCATTTAAAAGCTGGGTGTCATTTTTCTTCCTTAGAAGCAGGAGCACTGAAATGCAGGTATAAAAGGTAAACTTTCTGTGGGTTTCCAGCCCCGTGGCGTGTCTCTCTGCTCTCGTGGGCAGGGTTCGCCTGGCCTGCAACTCACAGACATTTTCAGTCGCCTCCTTGATTTAGCAACCAAAGGGCAAAAAGCCACTCCAGAAACTTCTCCTCTGTCGGCCCCACTGCAATTAACGGGGCTTGCGCAAATGCACAGAGGTGCCTTTTTGTGGTTTGCCTGTCCGGGCGCTTGGCGTGTGGCCATGTGCAAATCCAAGTCAGGAGCAGCAAGGATGAACACTGAAGGAGCTGAGTCCTCTCCTAACTCTGCAGTCATGGCAGGGCTGTTTGGCTCGCCCTGCCCTCATTCCAGGCCCTGCGCAGAATGCACGTGTCACCCGGCGTGAGTGACCCCGTGTTCGCCCCTCTCTCCTGCCTCTTGCAGATCTCCCCGGCGCCCTGCCTCACTTCTCGTGCCCGGCCCTAGTCAACAGAGGGGCCATCCTGGAGCGCCTGGATTTCTGCCACTATTTGCGCCACGCACGTCCGTCCTTCGCGTTGGCATCTTTTGTAGTCCAGCAGCTGGCGAGGAGCAAAACCCCAAAGCAGCTGTGAGTATTTATGGGAAGCAGAGATTTGGAAAGAGCAGAGCAAGATGGCGCCTGCCTTTTCCACTGAAAACTGTGCATTGTGTCGCAGTGAGGTGTCACTTAATGTCCTGTATTTTCAAGGTGCTTTGTAAGGGATTATCCTAAGTGGCATGCTATAGATATATTATGATAATAAATAATAATAATTTACAACATAAATTTAGTATAATAAATATAAGCAATAAACTATTACTGTAAATACAGTATCAGAAAGTAAGGACAGAGGTAAAAGTGATTTTCTGCTGTGATGTGTTCGCATGGTATTCTCTGGCTTCCACTAAGAACAGACGTGGCTTCTTAAGAAAAAACTTAAGGGTGCAGTCCTGTGCACATGCATACAGGAAAAAGACCGCCAACTTGCAGCATTCCCCAACCAGCTATGCTGGGAAACCTTCCCTATCCAGCTGTGTGCCCAGAAAATGCACCTGTACACTGTTTGTTTTGGTAAATGACAAAGTTGAGGCGTAGAAACCGTAACTACAGCACGGAATTTGCTGCGCACTGCCTCTGGCACGAATTCTGGCTCCTCCTTGCCCGCAGTCCCGCCGTGTGCCAGCCAGGCGCGCCAGAGCTGGCTGGGACCCCGTGTGGTGCGCAGCCGGTCCCGGTCCCTGGGCGCCTCATGCTGACGGCGGCTGCGTCCTTCCTAGGGTTCAGCACGCGGGCAGTGACGCCTACGCCCTGGCCCTCAGCTGCTTTTACGTGCCCTCGGTGGTCACGGCCTGTGCCTGCTTCTTGGAACTGCTGGGCCTGGAGAGCCTCAAGCTCCGGGTTGACGCCCAAGCCGCAAATGCGATCCTGAACTTCATGTCGAGGAGCGAGGAGCCCCAGTACGAGTCCATCCGGCAGTCCGTGGGTGAGGCCTCCTCCCCGCCCGCGTGCCGCGTGCGCGTCTTGTGGCGCAGCGTGTGGCTCGCCAGCCCGTGCGGAAGAGCAGACGCTCCGCTGGCCAAGTGCCTCTGGAGCATCTTTGCTCCCAGGGCAGGCAGAACGGCCGCGGCATTGCTTGCTGGCACGACTGGGCCAAAGCTGGCTGCCCTGCTGTGAGCCGGCCTGCCTGCCTGCCTTGTAGCAAGCGTAAAAAGCCCTTGCCGAGAGACGGCTTGGGCAGGGGCAACATCCAGCCCCCGTCTCTGCCCTTGGGTGGCGGAGGGGCCCTTTTGCTGCCTGTGCAGGCTGAAGGCAATGCTGGCATTTCGCTGGGGGCTTGCCCGGGCCATGGAAAAGACTCCCCCGGAGAACGTTTGGCTTGAGCCCCAGGTCCACCCGGGAGGCCGCAGGGGACCTTGGCCGGCTGGACTGGATGGGTTTCCCTCCGGCTGGAGTTCATGGCCTGATGCCAGTGAATGGAGAAGGCGCTGCAGGCAGTTGCGTAGAGAAAGTGGAAACGGTGTGGGGGGCGAGACTGGGGAGAAAGGAGGAAGAACCAGAGAGGGAGAGAGGAAAGGGATCCTGAGACAGCGAGAAAGGACGAGCATTCATGGTCAGGAGGAAGAGGGAGGTGCAGAGAGGCCAGAAGAAGGGGACAAGGATGGCACATGTCCCTGTGAGCCCAAGAGGCCCTCTGGAGGAAAGTCTCCTGGGCAGAGAAGGGCCTCTGAGTATCCTCTTCCGAGGCGGGGATCCCGTCAGATAGACAGAAAGGCGGGTGAAACGGGAGGTGGCGGAACTGGCTGCAAGTGACTCGGGAGCGATGGCCGAAAGGGGCTGGCCGCGCCACGCCATCGTGGGTCTCAGCAACGTGCTTTGCATCTTTGGTTTCCAGTCGACAAGCTGCGAGAGCTGGCCGACGGGGAAAAGAGGGCTGCAGAAGAGCTTCTCGTCTGCCTAGAGGAGGCAGTTTGGGACAAGACCGAGCAGCAGAAGGTCCAGAAGTAAGTCACGTCTCTGGGCTGGCCCTGGCGGTTCCCCAGAAAGCCAAGGAGCTGCGGGGGGCGGGGAATGGCTGGCGCCTCCTGCCTGCGGAGCCGTGAGCTGGAACGTCCCGCTGGCACGCCCTCCCTCAAGTGCCTCCTCCACCCGATGTGCTGCCCGGAGTCGAGGGGCCCTGGTGGGGGGGGCGGGCGAGCAGGACTGGCAGTCGTGCAGCCAGAGCCTTCCTTCGCAGGACGTCTGGTGAGGCGCGGCGGCAGTGGGCGCTGGTGGTGCAGTTCTGCCGGCTGCACGGCATCAAGCGGAGCCCCTCCTACCTGCGGGCGTGCGCCAGAGCCCACGAGTGGCTGCCGCTCATCACGGTGGCCCAGATGTATGGCTACCCACCGACGGAGGTGAGGAGTCCCGCTGGCCGGCGGGCCTGGCCTTCCGGGGAACGGAGAATGGAGGCGGCGCTCCCCCGGGAAGGGGCAGCGGGGCCGATGGGCCTGGCAAGGAACGCCGGCCACCTTGCTGTGAACGTGTTTCCCGTTGAAACGCTTGCTTGTTCTTCCGCTTTCCAAGGTCGTTCCCATCCTTCAGGAGTTCTCCCCCCCGCTGCAGAACCACCTGCGGCTGGCCTTCGGGAGCGTGCTGCCCCCCGGTGCCCGGGAGGGAGGGCAGGGCAGGGAGCTCAGCCGGCCGAGGCCCGAGCACAGGCCGCACGCAACCGACCTCTTCTGCCTCCTGCTGCACGGCCAGGAGCCGCCCCACCCCTGGCAGGACCTGCTGGCGGCCGCCGTGAAGCACCACGTCCCGGCCCTGGCCGTGCTGGCCGCGTGCCTGGAGGTAGGCGTTGCCTCCGCGGACCCCACGGGGCAGCATCCTCCGTCGGCGCGTGCCTCGCCGCGGGCCCTCGCCTGACGGTTGGCGGTTGGGCCTTTTCGCCTCCTTGGGAAGCTGAGCAGTGCGCGCGTGTTGCAGGGCGCCGGCACCGTCCACTGCCTCTGTGTCTGGATCGTGGCCTCCTTGGATCGCTCCACCGCAGCCGAGGTGACAAAACACGTCGAAGGCCCTGTCGAAACCCATCCGTGGGACCTTCTGGATTTGGCCGCTCTCTGGCGGAGGCTTCTGAGGAGGCGGAAGATCAGAACGCTCCTTCATGGCTTCCGGTTTTTCCTGAAGGTAACCACGGAATGTGTCCCTGAAGGGGACCGGATGGCGGAACTGCTCGGCGTCTCTCCCCGCGAGTGCTTTATCCCGTTCTAAATGCCTCTGGAATCAAACGGCCTCCAGGGAGGTGGGGCAGAGCATTTTTTCGGGGCGCGCGGAGGCTTGGCTCGCAAGCCGTGCCGCCTGTGTGGGCTGGGCGTGTGCTAGCAGTGTGTCCCTTGGCTGCGCGCAGGGCTCCCCGCTGCTGCTGCTGCTGGAGGGGTACGAGTCGTGCATGGAGCACCGCAATTACACGGAGGCCTCTGCCAGGCTCCTCGCGTTCCACGGCAGCGTCGCAAAAGTAAGCAGAAGCGTCACCCCTGGAGCGGGGCCCTTGGGCCGTGTGGGCAACAGCCCGGCAAAGGGCCTCGTGCGGCCCTGCCGCCAAGAAATCCCAGATCGATGCTTTCCTTTAAAGAAAGGGCTCCCTCCGCATCCTGCCATTTCCTACGAGGAACCTGGGGCAGCGGGCCGTGGCCGCCTCCACCTCGCCCTTTTATGCTCACAACAACCCTGTGAAGTAGGTCAGGCCGAGAGTCTGTGGCTGGCCCAGCTCGCCCCAGTGGCCGCGGTGCCAAGTAGGGCCTCCAGCTGGGCCTCCCCGGCCCCCGCGCAGCCCGTTGCCCGCCACTCCGCCCGGGCTGCCCGCGGGTCTCGGACCAGGCCTCCTCTGCCCCCCCCCCTCGGACCAACCGAGGCTGCCGAAATCGGGCTGCCTGGCACGGCACACGGGAAACTATTCCTCGGCTGGCCAGTCCATGAGGCCAATTAAAAGGGCGACCGAGGGTTAAGATGAGAAGTGGGAGCAAGAAGAAGGCGGAAACTGACACTGGTTTAAAGAAGGGCTTGTCTTTGAAGATGTTCACTTCGATGTGGATACATCTGTTAATTTAAGATGCTCTGTTCGATTCCCACCTCATGCCCAGCACTGTCCCTGAGGCTCTTGCGTTTTGCTACCAGCAGCCCTTGCTGCTTCATCGGGGCCTGCCTGAGATCAGGGCACTGGGGAGAGGAGGGGGCAGGGCGGGGGGGTGCCCGGGCCTACTTGCCCCTCTCTTTCCACAGCTCCAGGCCGTGTGCGAAGGGCCGCCTCCCGTCCCGCCCGTGCCCTGGCTGGAGTCGCAGGCCGCCTTCCTTCTCGGACTGATGCCGCAGCAGTGCCGCACCCCCTACGAGCTGCGGAGGCTCCTCCAGCTGTTTGCAGACACGGGCACTGCCCTGCCTCACGGCAAGCACCCTCTCTCGCCGCCCGTGCAGCCTGCCCCCGGGCGTCTTAGCTGGGGCTTAGCCTGAGTCGGAGACTGTTCTCGGGGCCTGGGCTCTGGCAGCTCTTAGACTTGTAGGCTGGTGGCAAAGACCTCTTCAGCGGCCAGATTGTTTTTCCGTTTCAGTGGAACAGGAATGGGATGGGAGGCCAGCAGAAGCATGGCGGGCAAGTGCGTTAGAAGCGGCCCAGAGAGCCCTTGGGCTCTTGGGTGGCAGAACAAGGGCATGACCGCGCAAATAAGCACGCGGCGCTCCCCTTGGACACAGGCCCGAGTGCCGCCCCTCCAGGGCTTTCCAGCAAGCCCAGTTGCTGCCCACTGTGCTTGCCTCTCCGTGCTGGCTGGGAGGGGAGGGGCCGGGCCCCGGCGGCTGATCAGCACCATGCGTGGCGCATTTGCTCACGTATGCGACGCACGCTTGTGCCACGCTTCAGCTGTCATGATTCCAGGATGGCCTGGAGAATGAAGAGTCGGGAATGCCTGGGAACAGGGAGATGAGTAAACTGGCGGGTAAAAATGTCCCCTGCCCCCAGGTGAGCCGGGTGGAGAAATGGGTGCGCGAGGAGCATGATGCCTTCGTGGCCCCGGCCCCGCTTCCGGGAGGCCGCCTCCAGCCCCGCTGCTTACCTCGCCTCTTCCCAGAGGCGCTCGTTGCGACGACTGCTTTTTTATGCCTTTGTTTTGCGCTGCTTTCGTCCTCAGGGGCAGATACGAAGAAGCTAAGTGCCCTCAGCTACATCTTGAGGGATTCCCCTCTCTCAGTTGATCGTGCCATCTTAACGAATTACACTGCTGAGAACTTCCAGAACGAATGCAGCAGAATTCTGGAGCAGCTGCAGGAGAGAAGCGCTTTTTCCACGGCACGGGAGGTAGCGGAACTTGCGGAGTTGCCCATGGACAACATCGTCATCCAGGAGGTGCGCTTGAGCCACGTTCCAGTTGCTGCGCACTTTTTTTGGCACATTTTAGCTGACAGTTTGCCGGACTCTAGACTAGACTAGGCCATGGTGGACCGGGAAGAGGCATCTGGGTATTTCCTGCTCGGCCCATGTCCTCGGTTTCCATGCAGGGAAGGTTCCATTTGGTTTGCACCATCACTGCAAAGGAATGGAGAAATGCTTTAATCTGTTCTGTGCTCCGCAGGTGCTCCAGAACATGCATTTTTTGAAACAGATTGGCCACTGGCCCCAAAAACGGACAAGAATTGAGTTCTGGAAGAAGTGTAACGAGTGTTTTGAGAAGAATGGCATCCTGAACCGTGCCGCCTCTGGCTTCTTCTCCGCACAGGCAGACGCGGTGTCGTCCGCATCCCCAAATGATGAGGGCGCCTGCTGCATCATCGAGAGGCAGCTGCTGCTTAGCTTGGCCGGCCACTGGCTGGCCAGGGGTGACCCGATCCCGCTCGAGGAACTGGAGCAGGTGGAACGGGAGGTCTGGCTCTGCCGCATCGCCCAGCAGACGCTCTGCCAGCGGCCCAGGCAGGCCCGGCAGAGGCTCTCGCACCAGATTTCCGTTAGCGGAGAGCGGTCCTTCGAGTCCCTGGCCAAGGAGTTCTCCTTTTCCAAGCTGGCCGCGTTAAACGTGCCCGAGGACCTGCAGCTCGAGCGCTTGCCTGCCCAGGAGGCCCCGGGGGCCGTGCTTCCAGAGGCTGACCGGGCGTCCCTGGAGGTCCTGATCGGGCAGCTGCTGGATGAGGGCAGCGTGCACGAGGCGAGCCGTGCCTGCCGCTACTTCAATTTCCACAGCCGAGACGTCTCCCTGGTGCTGCACTGCAGAGCACTGGCATCCGGAGAGGCTCCCCGGAGCCACTTCCATGCAGACGTCCGGGCGATCCTTGAAGCTCGAGAGGAGGAGGAAAGTGAGAGGAGCGGAGAGGGCGGTGCGCAGAAGAGGCAGCTGCCGAGCAGTAAGCAGCCCGGGATGAGGCTCCCGTGCAGCTGGGCCGGGCCGGCTGCTTGCCGGCTGCCTGGTGCTGGGGCCCACTGCTGGAGCGCCAGGGTGGGGCTGGGAGCGTGCTCTGTGGCTGGACGCCCGGTCGCCACGGCCAGGCTTCTCCCGATCGCCACCCTGTTTATTGCTGCGGACGTGGGCAGAGCGGCGGGAAGACCCGGGCAAGATCAGAGTGTTTCCCGATGCGCATTCGTGTGGCGGGGGAAGAGCACTTGTGCTCCGGGGTGAGCGGGGGGCCGTCGGGCAAGCTGCAGGCGGGCCGGCGACCCCCTTCCGAGCCGCGGCAGCGCCTGCTCTCCAGAGCCTTGCCTTTGCTTCCAGCCTCAGTCCTGGGGAGCGGGCCCTGCGCGGGGGGCGAGTGTCCGGGCCGGGAGGTCGCAGCCAGCCTGCAGGCGCTGGGAGCCGAGTGTGTGCACGGGCGGAGCTACTGCCGGCAGGTCCTCTGCCTGTACGAGCTGTCCAGGGTGAGCACGGACACGGGGAGTGGGGAGGGCCCTCCGGAAGGCCCCCGAAGTTCCCCCGGGGTGTTTCCTGGGCCTGAGGGCGGCTGGGGTCTTCCAGGTGGCCCATGCCACAGAGGACCCCCACATCCTGTGGACATTGCCCTTCCCTTTTCTCTGGCTCCTGGCAGGAGCTGGGCTGCTCCTTCGACGAGATCTCTGCCCGGGATCCCGAGAAGCTGCTGCGGACAATCCTCTCCTCTCGCCGAGCGGACAGGTGCAGGCGGGCCCAGACCTTCATTGCGGCCCAGGGGCTGGGGCCCGACACGGTGGCAGAGCTCGTGGCCGGGGAGGTCACGCGGGAGCTGCTGGCACCTGCACAAGGACAAGGTGGGCGGGCGCGTGCTCCCTTCGGCTCGCCGGTCTGCCCAGGGAGGCCTCCTGCCAGGGCTTTCCTGGTGCCGCATGGATGGCCCCGAGCGGCCGTGCGAGGGCCTCAGCCTCGCTCCGGGGCTCCTCTCCGGGTGCCACCCACTCGGGCCTCCCCTACGCCTTTGCTGTGCCGTCTTCCTCCGGCTCTGCTTGTCACTCATTTATCATTCTCCAACTTCCTTGGAGTGTTCCAGCAAGAAAGAAATCAGAGAAAACGTTTCAGAGGCTCAGCTCGCGGCCATGGCGTTCAGAGAGGGGGCGCTCGTACAGCTCGTGGGGAGGGGTTCCCGGAAGTGGGGCTGGGAAGGAGGGAGGCTCTGCCTGGCATCCTCCTGGCGAACGGAGCGTGTGCTGTGACCGGCGTGTCACCCGGCATGCACTGTACCCACAGGGAGACAGCCAGCCCTGAATCCCGCAGAGGGGAGCCAGGCGTTGCTGCAGCTGGCCAGGCTGTGCCCGGACCCTGCCCTGGTGGGCAAGCAGCTGCTGGAGAGAATCGCTGCTGTACCGCCGGGGGAGCTGGCCTGCAGTGAGTCCCTGGGGCAGAGGGATCCGTGTTGGCCGTGCGCACCCCCGGAGGGGTGGCGCCGTGAGGACTCGGGCTTTGTCTCTGGGAGCGCTGGCCCACTGCACGTGCTCGGGCACCACCGTCCTCGAAGCCCCTGGGACATCGGCACCACGTGCCCGGAGCTCTGCCGGCTCTGCCTGAGCGGCCGCTGGCTCCCTTGCGTGGCTCCCCTCCGGCCGGGAGCTGCATTCGAGGCAGGCCATGGAGGCTTCCTGTGCGCGGGGTCCTGCAGCCCCGGTGGGGGTGGAGCGCCTCCAGGGTGGGCTCGGCGCAGGCGCCCGGGGATGGGCTGCTCTCTGCAGAGCTTGCCTGCTGGTGTTCCCACCAGCAAGAGGGATCACGCTGCCGGGCTGGAGCCCAGGCACCCCAGCAAGCCCAGCTCCGGCCAGGGCTGCGCCAGCCTCCTTGCCCCCCCTCCCCCGAGAGGAACGCACTTCCTGAGGAGACCCCCTTCCATCCTCCTTCCTAGCCACTGAGCTCCTGATCCTGGCCCACAGCTGCTTCAGCTTGACGTGCCACATGGAAGGGATTATCCGGGTCCTCCAGGCTGCCCGGATGCTCACGGAAGAGCACTTGGCTCCCAGCGAAGAGTATGGCCTTGTGGTACGTGACCGCCCCGGGGTCCTGCACTGAGAACGCGGCGGGCTGTGGGCGGGCGGGCGGGCGGCACCCGTGAGTTTGCTCCCCCCAGGCAGGCGGGGCTCCGTGCCGGGCGGCTGCCTGGCCATGCCCAGGGCCTTTCCCCTCTGCGGAGCCGTGAGCTCTGCTCTCCTCTCCTCTCCAAAGGTGCGGCTGCTCACGGGCATCGGTCGGTACAACGAGATGACGTACATCTTTGACCTGCTGCACGAGAAGCATCACTTTGAGGTGCTGATGCGGAAGAAGTTGGACTCGGTGCGTACCCCGGCGGAGTGGCGGCGGAGGCTGGCCCTGGTCCAGGGCTTCCTCGCCAGGGCCTGCCCCCTTCCACTTTCCTCTCACGGCAGCCACCCTACGGCGAGAGGTGGTGCCTGGCCCGGAGTCACCCCAGAGCTGTGTGGCTGAGCGGGAGCTTGAACCCGGGTCTCCCGAACCCCCGCCCAGCACAGCCGCCTTCCCTGCTGCCTGGCCTGAGGCGTGTGCCTTCCCTCCCTCCCTCCCTCCCTCCCAGCAGAGTGGGGCGCTCAAGACCGCCCTGCTGGACTACGCCAAGCGCCGCCGCCCGGGAGACAGCGAGAAGCACAACATGATCGCCCTCTGCTTCAGCATGTGCCGGGAGATCGGGGAGAACCACGAGGCAGCGGCCCGCACCCAGCTCAAGCTCATCGACTCCTGCCCCTGGGGTGAGCTGCCTTGCCCCGCAGGGGGAGCGCTGGCAGGGCCACGGAGCAGGCCTGGGCCGGGCAGCCTGCCCCAGAGCCCTGCTCCCTCGGCTGGCCTGCAGAAGCGCAGCTTCTCCGCTTGTGCTCTGCCTTGGGCAAGGCAGCCAAGAGGGCGCGGAGCAAGCCAAAGCACCATGTGGCTCCGGCTTCGCCTGCGGCACGCCTGCAAACACGCGGTGGCTGGCCGGCTCGCAGTCCCAGGGGCCCGAGGCCGGCAGCCAGGGGGACGCGGCTGCAGCGCTGGGCGGCAGAGTGGGGCCGAGGGCTTCCCGGGCCTTCCGCCGGCATCGCTCAGACCAAACCCGCCCCGGAAGCCCGGGGAGTTCGTGCGCCTCTGGCCACCGCCAGGGCAGCCCTCTTGGGCGTTGCTGGGATTGCAAGGAGCTTGGCTGTGGGAGGAACCATGCAGCCCACTCTCTGGATGGCAGCCGCCGGAATGGCACGACCGCCTTTTCCGTGGCAGAGCCGAGAGCGCCCCAGTCCTCTGGGGAAGCCCTGCTGGCTTGTGCAAGGGGTGATACCTGCCCCTTTCTAGCGGCGGTCCGGCCCCCCAGGCTCGCTGTGCAAGCCGACGTGGTCTGGGGTCCGGGAATTGGGTGGCCGAAGGTCGCGCTGGTGCCTGTCTTGAGCTGGCCAGGGCAGGAAGCCGTGCTGATGGCATCTCCTCACTGCGGAGCCAGGGGGCTGGGGCCGCGGGGAGGAGAGGCAAAAGGGGGCACTCCGGGGCTGCGCGGGGGGGGGGGGGCAGGCTGTGGCCTCCAGCTGTGCTGAACTTCTGGGCTGATCAGTTCAATTCGTCCACAAGTTAGGTGGCTGAGCAGGTTCACAGAACGTGTTAGGCAGAAGGGAGAGAAAAACTCCCATTCTCCAGCTGAGGGATTTCCTGTGTGCTGCAAGTCTGCAGAGACTCACGCCGGCCGAGTGCACAGCAGCAGCAGCCATCCCCTTCCCTCGCCCTCCCCAGCACGAGCGCCCACAAATCCTGCCAACGCCAGACAAATAGCAACCGGCATTCTGGGCCGTGGAGATGCTGCCCATGGCCAGGGGTGCTGGGAGGAAGCAGTGGCGGCGCCCGGTCCTGCCAGACAGGAGGAGGGCAGGCCACGTTCTTGCCTGCCGTGGCCACACGGCCACATGCACAGCCCTGGCCGGGCGCTGCCTCCGATGCCCACACCCGCCACTTTGTGGAAGTGCCCGCAAGATTTTGTGCAGCGGGTCCAAAAGAGTCCAGGACGCCCAAGCCACCCCTCTGGCACTCCCTGCCATTGAGGTCCTTCTGTTCTCTTTGCCTGGTCGGCAGCAGCGGCTTCTCCCCTCTTGGGCCTGCTGTGGGGGTGGCCTGACCCCCAGTGAAGGGCAGGCCGCACTCTTGCCCGCCACAGCAGGGCCACACAGCCACACGGCTCGCCCTCTCCCTTCCAGAGGATTGCCTCCAGAACGTGCCCCACCTAAAGACACTGCTGATGAAAGCCCTGACCCTCTTCATCGACGCTGCTGAAAGCTATTCCAAGGTAAAGTGGGACCCTGGGAGCAGTGGAGGAGGCCTGGAGGAGGGAGAGGAGGCCGTGGCCATCCATGTGCCTTCAGTGACCCCCAGCGGCAGTCCAGTCATCTCAGAGGGGCTCAGGGCCCCCAGAGCTAGTTGAAACGAGCGCAGGACGAGCCGAGAGACCTGTTGGCCTTCCATGATCTGTGGGGCCGCCCCGATGGCATCTGGCCGGCAACAGGAGCAGCTCTGCTGCCCTAGGGTGAGTGGTGTCCCTGGACTCCAGAAAGCCTGGGGTACCTGGGCACGTGCCTCTGCCGGAGGAAGGTGGCAGCCCGGGGCATCTTCCTGTGGCTCGCGGGAGGTGAGGAGGGAGCTTCCGCTCGCCATGCTCGAGCGGAGGAACGAGAACCTCCGGCCAAGCTCCATGGCTGGTCCTTCTGCGCGCCGCCCACTCGGACCGCAGGACGGGCCCCTGGCGGGTGGCGCCCTCAGCGCCAAAAACGGCTCCCCCCAGCGAAGCTGCTGGCAGCGACCGGCGCTGGGGAAGGGGAACCACCTGTGTGAGACCCTCAGGCCCTCCAGATGCCCCTTGCAGATCCAGAGAGCAGTTTTCTCTGTGGCCCGGATGGAGAGGGATGGCCCGCCTGCTTTCCCACTTCCAGGGCCTGTTACTGCTGCTCGCGGCATCCCCGCTGGCCAGGACTGGAGGAGCTGCTCCAAACAGGAGGGCAGCTGGCCTTGCAGGCAAGCAGGACCCCTCGCCTCTGACCCTCTCCCCCCGCCCCCTTAGGACTTCTGTGTGCACCAGTCCTTGCACTGCAACAGGCTGACAAAACTCATCACGCTGCAGCTCCACTTCCTGAACACCAACCGCGCCACACAGCTGATCAACCTGAGCCGGAAGAACCTGCTGGGGTGCGTCATGGCCCTGCCCAGGTTCTACCAGGTGAGCCGCAGGACAGGGAGGCTTCCGCTGCTGGGAGGGGTCGATTGAAGGGCCTGCTGCACGCCGGCTGGAGGGAGCGCTGGGTGTCGCGGGCCCCGATCGCCTGGGAAGAGCCGGCGTGCGCCTCCCGGCGTGCTGATGCCTTCCTGTCCCCGGGCCGCGCGCGCTCCAGGCTGCCATTGTGGCCGAGGCCTACGACTTCGTTCCCGACTGGGCTGAAGTCCTGTATCAGCGGGTGATTGTGAAGGGAGACTTCAACTACCTGGAGGAATACAAGCAGTGTGGCCTGTTGAAGGCGAGCACGTTTGAGGAGATCGCTCAGAAGTAAGTCAGCGTTGTGAGCCATCACCTGCTTCTCCAGCACGGAGGCCTCCCCTCCCTCCGCCTGGTTTTCTGTGCAGTTGGGACCCGCGGCCCTTGCTGGCGCTCTTCCCGCTTTGGCATTGGGCTGAGCTACTGGGGAGGCAGGGATCTCTTGGAGGAGGGGCAGCTGAGGCGATCGGGGGCTGGAGCAGGTCGCCTGCGAACTGGGACGGCTCAGCTTGGGAAAAAGGCAAGTCGGGAGGCATGAGAAGTGTCTGAAATACTGCATTGTGTGAAGAGGAAGGGATTCTTCTCTCTCCTGGAACACCAGCACCCCAAAGAGGAAAGATTCCTTCACACAACTCATGCTCACATTGGCTAGGTAATTGGCTGCCGTGGGAGGTGAGGCTGTGGGCTGCCTGCGTGCACCAGCTGCTGGGGAGTGGGACCACAGAGGTCTTGTGCCCCTCCCGTGGGGGGGCCCTGGGGGCAGCCGCTCTGCCGCCGTGTGTGCGGAGTGCTGGTCCGCTGGGCCCTGGCTGTCTTACGTTCTTGTGAGAGAAGCCGAGGGGGCTGCACCACGTGACTTTCTTCCAGGTTCAAGCAGCGTGCAGGGAACGAGTCTGCTCTGAAACACCTGAAGAAGTTGCTGACCTATTGCGACGATATCTATGTGTATTACAAGCTGGCTTACGACAACCATTTCTACGATGTGGTGAGCACCCTTCTGCAGGATGCCCAGACGGGGTGCTGCCTGAATGACCTGCTGACAACCTAGATGCTGCCGGGCTAGACGACCAGCCGGAAACCAGCCGGAAACCTTGGGGGCTCTTGCAGGGCCTGCCCATGGCCAAGCAGCCCGAGATGCGCACGGCCTCTCACGGCACTGCCGCCAAGTTATGCCCACCTAAGTGTTGCTTTCGAGCGCATGCTGACTCCTGAGGTCAGGGTTAAATAAAACTGGCATTTGTAAGAACTTTGCATTGGAGGTGACCTTCTGCTGCCAAACCACATTCCAAAAAGCAACAAAAAGTGCTAATTTTGCTGTAGGGAGTATAGTGAATCTGACCGCACCCAGAATAGCATGTCCCACTAGTGCTCCTCATTGTAAAATACCCTCGGAAGAAACAGGAAACCAACACATCCGTTTATATGTACGATTCATTTGCAGACATTTTCTAGAGCCAAAGCTTTCAGTAAGCCATGAGAGAGGAAACGACCACAGGGGAAAGCCCGAATTCAGTGTGTTAGACTCAGGCACCAGAATTCCCGGTAAAGCCAGGTAGTCCAGTAGTTAGAAAATGTGCAAGCAAGCAGAGAGCGTCAGGATGAAGCAGGCCTGGCGTGAGACGAGGGGGCTGGGCTGGGCTGGAAGAGGATGCTCAGAAAGCCAGCATGGCCTCCAGAGAGCGTGAGCCAAAGAAGCCCCACCTGCTCTCCAGTCCCAGTCGCTGCCCACGGCAGAAACAGCCAGACCAAAGTCTCCATCCTCACAAGTGATTTTATTAAATTAGTTGCTTTTATAAAACATTTGCAGATGTCATAATTGTTAACATAACAATTTACCCAACTGTCGTTAACTGTTGCAGTTCGCTAAGCAGGATTCCTGTAAATGGGGAAAAGAAAGAAAAGAAGACAGACCCAACGAAGCCTTGCGAGAGCTGTACTGTAGCCCCCAAACCCTGGTGACAGAATTCCTCCCGAGTCAGAAAAGCGTCAACTAAACTGCCTAGACTTGAGTCACGCGTCTTCCAGTGCCACTGAACCATCTCCCAACCCTAACCTAAAGAAGCGATTTGCCACTTGCCAGGGTTGAAGTTGGGGCTGTGTCACAGGTGCTTTCTAAGTGCAGAATCCTCCCTCAGGGCATTTGCCAGTATCTACTAAAAACCTCAAGGTCTCACTGAACAGAGAAAGCCAGTTTTAATACTCGATGCACACTGTATCCTCGCTGCAAGCGGCTCTCTTTGTCTGGACAGAGTCTGTGGAAAAGGTACAGTTAAGGCTGTTATTACTAAACGATGTTGGTAATAATACGATGTTGGCTTGGTTGAAATTACTTTCCAATTAAGTGCTGCTTCTGCTGCTATGAAGTCAAACATGATCAAAATTCCATCATTTCCTACCACTGAAAAGAACTGAGCCCTGGCAGTTTATACCCTCGACATCAAGGCAGGCGTCTGCAGCGGAGTATTGACTGGGCACCGACCTCGCAAAGATACTGCACTTTCAGATTGTAGCATTTGGCAGAATTTAAAGGAAAGAAGTTGTGCTACACATCAGGGGATTATGGGCAACAGAGAAACAACAGAAGGGCGGAGAAGTGTCACATGAAGTCTTCGAAGTCTTGCACGTAGCCCCCGTCATAACCACTGTAATCTGCCAAGTCGTCTTTCATGGTCGCTTTCAGGCCTCCTCCGGGCACCACTCCTTTTTTCTTCTTTTTGGCCTTGTTTTGCTGTGGGAGGACAGAAGTGGCCCCAGCTCAGACAGACTCTGTAACACCAGCTCCCTCCACGGCCTTGGCTGAGTCTGCGAGGGCCCGACATCTCGGGGTCCTCTCCAGACAGACATGCACAGAAAGCATCCTGGCTAAGTTACCTGCTCTGATGGACATCGTGTTTACCAGAACAACGTAAACTGACCGATGGCGACACTGTGAGGAAATCTGCCAGCCAGCTCGAGTCCGAGGCAGGCTTTCTGTGGACTGCCCGATGCCGGGGGCAGGTGTCCACGGCCTCAGGCCGCCTGGGCACAGGGAGCGCACCACCCACCCCACCCCACCCCAGCCCACCCCCCTTCCACCAAGCACCCCTTGTTTTGGTGGTTTCCCTGCTTTCTGACAGAAAGGCTGACATGCCCCTCCGATTAAATAAAATAGAAAATGTTTGGTGACTGGCAGCAGGCACTTGGAGTCATGATGGCTGCTCTCTCAGCCAGGTCCATCTCTGGAATGCAGCCCTTCAAAATGGAGCCCTACTCCTGGCCTCCCCAGAGGCGCTGCGCTTCTAGCCTATGGCAACTGGGCCTCGTTTCAGGAGCGATGCCTGGCGACAGAACTGGCAGCCCGTGTTCACCCGGCGGCAGAGCAAGGGAGGGGACCGAGAACGGTGACACTGTGATCACACAGGTCCCTGAAACAACTTGGGGCTGAAGAGGCCATCTCCACAGACAATGGAGCGGCCCCGCCAGAGAGCAGCACGCACCCCGAGAGAGAGCACGCCCCAGACTCACCTTCTCCTGTTTCTGCTTCTCGCTGCACAGGACTGTCAAGGAATTGGTGATCTTTTTCAAGTCATCAACTTCCACTAAATGGGGAATAAAAGCATGGGAGGTATCATTTATAGGGCTTTCCAAGAAGTACTTTTCCTGCAGTTTTTAAAATGCTCAAATCAATCCTTGGAAATGGATTTTAGTTAATACAGATGTTCTGTTTGCAAAAGAAGAGTGTTTTTAGAAAAACACATGGCAAAATATCTTGGGGGAACTACTCTGGTGCCAAGGAGGTGCTTGCCATGCCCAGGCACATGAGAGCTGCGGAAGCCTCCGTGGAAAAGTCTGAGAAGCCTCTGCCTGGCCGGGGAGCTCGTGTGACTGAGGCAGACCCAGAGTCTGATGTGCACAGGAACAGCAGCACCTTTTCAGCAACTGTGACCACATTTTTCATTTATTGTATCAAAATTCACTAATCGGGGAATCCACTAAGTGGAGTTAAAAAAATGGGGGGGGGGCTGCCCAGTGGCAGGACACAGAATCTCTCTCCTGAAGATGGAGATACCGCTGACACTACCATGCAAATATTCCAAGTCATATGTTTGCCCTTCAAGGGAAAACCAAAACCAGGAAAAACCTCAGGTTAAAACACAAGACGGGTGTTTAATCCTACACACACTTCGCCAGAAGACGTTGAACAACTATTAGCAGATTGAAAGTTGGGTGACTTTTCCCCCCATTTAAGACATATGGGACCTGCACTCACGGCTGTGAAATGCTGTGTGGCATCGCTAACCTGTGGCGTGCCAAGGAACAGAGGCCCTCCAGAACGCCCTCCCCGTGACACCCCGGCTTAACAGTGCGCGTGGTTTTTAAATAAATGGTAGGATTCTGAAAACAGAAGCATATTTTATCCCAAGAGGAGGCCAATAAGCAGAACCCTGTTTCAGATCTACTAGATTCCTCTGAGACTCGGGTGGTTACAGCCCCCCAATTGCTGGGACATAAGGTGGGGACTGCAGTGCTTGCTCATAGGGTCTGGGGGACTCCTCCTGCAGTCTTGCGTTGCTCTGCAGTTCACAGAATTGCCAATATGCCTTCCAGAATTTATTGCAAAAAGGAAGTTATTCTCTCCTAGGCTGCATCCCCAGAGCATGGAACCTTTCTGTACAGCAAGAGCTATGAATTACTGGAGCAGGGGCAGCCAAGAGAATCACAGGGCAGCACTGGATAGGGAAAGCACATTCCCGGGTTGTAAATGTGGGCAGGTGACATGCATTCTTTGCTAGATTCACACACTAAAGAAAGTTAACAGTATATTGAGAGACTCATTCAGATAAATGAACTGAGTTTCGGATAATATTGCCCTTCTATTTTGTTTCTTAATAATCATTTTGAACTAGGAAAATTAGGTATGTACAGATGTGGGGAAATGTACTGGAAATGGCCTATATCTTTTTTTTCCTGAAAAGGTAACTTTATTTAATATAAATATATTAAATGTAAATATAGATTTAAATATAAGGAAGAGGAGAAAGGCGGGCCTGGCCAAAGTGGAAAACCCCAAAGACTGCAGGTTGTTGCACAGGGAGGCCAGGAGCAAGTCTGCACAGACGTCACTGCTAGTTCTGCTCATTCCGCCCACTGCACGTCCTGGCTGGGCTTCTGTCCTACCCTGCCCACACGCTGAAAATGGGAGTAGAGGCAAAGAATGACTATGCACCACATTTTTGCTCTGTAGGACACACTTTCCCCCCTCAAAAGTAAGAGGAATGTCTGTGTATCTTATAGAGTGAATGTGTGTGCCCGACACCCGGGACGCTGCCGGCCGCCTGCACCACGTGGCACCACCTGGCCGGCACGCACTCGGCGCACCCTGCTCCGCCCCCCCCCCCAGTGCAGGTGAGAGCTGTGCCGCTCAGGGGGAGGCGTGCGAAGGAGGAGAGCCACGGGCTTTAACCCACCGGCCGCACGGAGAGACGGACTGCTCACCCCCACCACCCGGGAAGACCTGCCGCCGCCACCACACCACCCGGAAGACCACCGCCGGCACGCTGCCGGCCCGGCTGCACCACACCTGGCTGGCACACATGCCCTCCGCCGGCACAGGTGAGAGCTGTTAATCACAGGTCGGCGTGTGTTTTCAAATGGCAACCCGTCTTTTAATGAAGCCCATGGGGACGTGATGGGGAATGTGCCTGTGATTATCCGGAAGCTTTCCATGATCAGTTATCTGTTAGTTGATCAGACACATTTTTTTTTTAGGATCAGTGGATATTTGAACAGAATTACCTTCGTGTATGAAGTTTATTCTTCAAAGGCTTAGTCCGCTGTGTGTTTGATTTACCGAACAATATCTCATTTTTTGTCAGAAAGTTTTTTTCTATTATTTACTAGTAGGGCAGCGTGGACATTACTGGCTTTTTTAGATTTGTTATTGAATTGTCTGCAGCAGCTCTTGTATAACTGGTGTGGATTGTGGATTCCTTCAATAATTCCACTACTGACTAAGAAAGTGATGTCAGTGATTGTGAGCAACACAGCTTCATAAATTCTGACTCTAGTGATGATGAGTTCTATGGGTTCAACGAAAACTAGAAGAGCACTCGAACTTTAAAGCCTCTCTTTTGTTAATGACAGTGATGATGGTTCTTAATGCCACTGTTGACTGCTGTTTACAAGGTTGAAATACGGTATTACTGTATTCTGTTATAGTTTATTAAATAGTTTAGTAAACCATTTGATTCAGAATACTTTTTTTCTTGTTTTCCTCCTCTAAAATCTAGGTGCGTCTTATAGAGCGAAAAATACGGTACTTACATGAAATACATACATCTCGAACTAATGCTTCCAAAAACCCAGCATAATATAGGGACTTCTCATACTGTGTTATTTTTTCTTTTAACAGTTTGCCAAATTCCGTGAAGTCATCTTTCGAAGAGGGGTTCATGGCATCTATTCCGTAAGTGTTATTTACACCTGTGGAGGAAGGCAAACAGTAACCACAGCTGGCTGAGCAGTGGCTCTTCTGCGGAAGGGAGCATTTGAAGCAATCTTTATGTTCCTTCTTTGAAATGCCCCCCAATCCTGCAGAATGAGGCGCGATGAACATACACAGTCACACCTGCCCTGCTTCCTTTCCCGCTCCCTCAATTACCAAAGGTTTCTTTGGCTAACTCAAGGTCTGCCTCTTCTTGCAATTTCTGCAGCCGTAGTTTGTCTGCTAACTGTTCTTCTGGTGTAAGTTCTTTAGATTCTTCTGATGTCTCTAACTTAAATGAGGAAACAAAACAAATCAATGATTTGCAGCAATTCTTACTCTGTGCTTCCGCATTAACCTTAAGAGGGAAGCCAACACGGCTATCGGAAGCTTCAAATTTATGCAGATGAACAGGAAATTGTATATTTTACATCTTTTCCCAGTGGCTTAATATAAGGCATATTTTTCAAAAGAATTTCCTCCCCTGAATGAAGGGGCATGCAGAAATTCCACACACACACACACACACACACACACACACACACACATATATATATATATATATATATATATATATGGAATTTATATGTGGAACTTATATATACACACACACACACACACTGATGCCACTTTGCTTTATTACATTATCTCCAGTGAGTCACATGCAACATAAACTCAGAAGTAAGTTCCAGGGCCTCTCCTGCAGGAGTTATAAGAAACAAGAAGTTGGAGGGTGCCCCTTTAACCTCTCTTGGGGCTGACACAGAAGCAGAAGGGGGGACTGCAGCAGCCAGGCAGGTAGCAATCAGCTCAGACATGCAACAAGTGAAGCCACGATGGGGAAGTCCCAAACATCCAACCCAGAAGCTCCCTCTGTGGACAAAGCAGGCCTTCTGCAACTAGGGGGAACCAGGACGTGTGGCACCTGGTCCTCTCCAGCACACAAAACAAAGGCAGTTCATTTATCTCTAGTCATAAAGGGCTTACCCTTTTTTTAATCTCCTCTTGCTTTTTCTTCTGAAGTTTTTCCCTTTCTTTTATTTTTTCTACTATTTTCTTCTTTTCTGAAACTTTGGTTTCTGTGAACAGTGCACAACATTATTTTTAAATTTTAAGTGCTGGGGACTTCAGAACCCCAACGGCTACGACTGCATGGGCATCCAACCCAGAGGCCTGGGCCTCCAGCCACACGAGGGCCGCACAAGGCGTGAGTCTCCCGTGCTTCTCACCTGGCTTTACCTCTTTCTCCTTTTCTTCATCTTCCTCTTCCTCATCATCCCAGTTATCCTGGCCAAAGGAAAAGAAAAAAGAAAAAGAAAAGAAAGCAGCACCAGTTATCGGCATCGAGGGTTCAATGGCACACGCTTCGCTTAGTCAGTTCAAATTATGTCCTTTTTGCGATGCTGCTCAGGAGTGACAACAGAATAGCGTCCAATGGCACCCCCCCCCAAAAAGGTGGAGTATGAGGAGCAATCCTGCCTTGTGACAGTGGCGGGGGCACCACCTCAGGAAAGAGACGCCAGAGCAGACATGGAGCCACCCAACCAGCTGCCCGACTGTGCAAGCAGCAGCAGACGCTGCTTTAGGGAAGGTGTGGCCGCCTCGCAGCAAGAGAATTCTGAGGCGCAGAACCCTCAAAGCACACGTCTCTCTCGCTCTGAAAACTATCACTAAAAGTGAGACTTAATTGCTAACTCCAAGCTCACTTTAATTACTAGCATAAGTACAATGACAGAGAGGCAAGCACGTCGCTCACCCAGGAAGGGTGTGGGAGATGCATCTGTGGGTGGAATCCCTGACGCACTTCCCCGGTTTAGTCGCCTCTCCTACAGTCTCCCAGTCTACTAAGTTACCTCTCCTCATCCACCACGATTAGGCAGTTGTGGCCTGAAAGAAAATTCACACCAACTTTTGTAGCTGTCTCTGCCTACAAGTTACTTGCTACAGACTACTGGGAAATGGGTATTTACAAAACTGGCATCTCAACGCAGCTTCACAGAGACTGCGCAGCAGCTGCCCAACTCCAAGGAATGGCTTCTGGTAACAGAAAGTGCTCCTCCTCTTCTTCCTAGGGAGCTGCTTATTTCTTACAAAGCCATTTTTCACCCTTTTTTTTCTTTCTTGCACTGATCAGGCAGCCTCTCATCCCCTGCGTCAACAGAGCAGCTTGGGAACCGGATGGGCAGCCTGACTGACGGCTGGAGGCCAACGCGAGTGACCCCGCCTGTCCTAGAGCGGCCCTCCCCAACGCGGTGTCCTCCCTGTGCGGGATGGCACCTCCCATAATGCCCAGCAGGCAAGGCCTTTGGGGACGGCTCATCTGGAGGGACCTGGAGCAGCTTCCCCTCTCCTGGGGTGGATGGCTCAGTCAACCTGATGCACCTTCTCTAGCGTCTCGACAGCAGCAGTGCAAACAGACACAGCCTCCATCCTGGTGGAGAAACTGCAATCTCCAGTACTGACACAGAAAACACACAGAATTATGCCTTTTTCACACCAAAAAAGTGTACTTGAAAAGCTGGCCACTAGCTAGGACTCAAAGAATATCACAGCGATGCAAAGAAATCATGTTGCTGTTTAGAAGCAGCCTGGCAGCTGCGAGAAATGAGGGCAGCAGGAACAGCAAACCTGAGCAAAGGAGGCTGTGCCCTTCCAAACAACTGCTGCCAAATAGAGAATGAGAGCCACAGACTCCTATGTTGACCGCAATGGGTATGTCTACTTTTCATGGGGAAATTTTCACATCCGCAAGACCTTTCTTCTGTCTTTTCTAAAAGATACAAAAACCGGGGAAAGTACCTTTAAGCTTACCCTAAACATAAAAAGGTATCTGTGGTTCTTAGATGCCAGGATCCATTTTTAGGTTCAGAAGTTGGCCAGGGTAGCTTTACTGTTCACTGGACTTGCCCAGGCACCAGTATAATGTTACCTGGCGCTCCTGGGTGGTCATTCTTCCTCAGTCATGGTCTTGCGCTCGTTCCAAATAATCTAGTAAGGGGATACTCCAGTGTCAGTGGCAGCCGTCGCTTGGGTAATCCCAGCCGCAGCTGGGCTCAAGAGCTACATCACCACATTGAGACGTAGGAGAAGGCAGAACCCAACAGGTGTGTGGCCAGTGGAACAAGCTGGATACCTCCCAGGTGTAGCATCTGGCCAGGAATGTCCAGAGCAAAGGGGGCAGAGTCAGCCTGTCTACCAATTGCCCCTGATCCTACCCTAGCTGCCCTGTGGCTCCCCCATCTCCCTTGACAAGGGGCTGCCAATGTCATGCTTAATACAGGAAAGTTTTCAAAGGCCTCCCCTGCCTTTCAGATGAGGCCTGCTAATCCAACTGGCTGCAACAGGCACTGGGCCAGGCGAGAGAGCGCCACATAAAGAAGGAAGCCGGCCAGGGGGCCAGCCCTGAGTGCGAGGAGGCCCAGTAAGGAAGCCTCTCCACCCCGGTGACAAACTAGGGGCGCATAACAGGGTTGCACACCCGTGCAAGTTCAGCAACAGGACAGTTGACTTTCCCCCCACACTGAGTAACTGCCTGCATTCTCCTAGTAAACAACGCAAATTCCACGTGAGCAGACGGGTAACAGCAATAAAAAAGCTACGAAGAGAGATAGCCAGCAAGGCTGCCGAGGCCTCTCACTCAGTGCTGAGCTGACCAACCACATGATTATCAGAGCCAGGGCATTAATTATGGCTGCACGCTCAATTCTGATGAGCTTGTCTCTCAGTGAAAACACTTGTTCCCTGGAGTCAAGACTGAAGAAGATAAGGGACAGGTAACTTCACCTGAACTGATATATTCAAGAAAGGAGTCCAAGGAACTAAGGTAGTAAAGAGCAGCAAAAGCTGGAATTGTCAACTTTATTGATAAACTAAATGCTAATATTCACTGGCTCAGATACTATCCATCCTAGTATTCTTTAAGAATTCTAATACAAAATTGCTGATCTTCTAACAAAATATCTAAACAACTCCAAGATCAGCCTCCGTGAGGGCTGGAGAAAAGTCAATATAATAATAGTTTTTAAAATGGGACTGGCAATGGACCTGAGAAATTACAGGCCAATTAGCTTAGTGTTTGTGCTGGATAAATCATTGAAAGTATTAAAGTTTAAATTAGTAAGCATATGGCAGGACAGGCCCTGCTGAAAAAGAACCAACATGGCTCCCATAAAGTTAAGTCCTGCCGCATTAGCTTCTTAGAATTCCTTGTGAGTGTCGACAGCCATGTGGTAGACATTCCTTACGTGTCCTTCCAAAAGGCTTTTGACAAGCAAGATCCTTTTAACAGACCAGTAAATGGTTAGAAAAATCAGACAGGAGGAATAAATGGTCAATCTGCCAGATGGAGAAATATAAACAGTGGGGTACCAAAAGGATCAGTAGTAAGAACAAAACTTTTCATTTCCACTGGATCATAGAAGAGTAGAGCTGGAAGGGGCCAGAAGACCATCCGGTCCAACCCCCCGCTCAGGGCAGGCACAGAGTTAAACTATCCCTCTCAGAGAGCTCTTTTTGTTCATAAGGAGCTGAAACTAGGAGAAAGTAGGGAGGTAGTCAAGCCTGTGGGTGATACCAATTTATTTAGGGATAATAAACAAAAACAATTGTAAAGAGCTCCCCAAAGGTCTCACCAATTTGGGAGAAAGGGCCAAAAAAGACAAAAGCGGTTCAACATAAGTGCAAAGTGAAGCTCTGGGGCAAAAAAAGTATCCAACACAACATACAGACTGATGGAATCTGAGCCCAGAAGTTACTGACCGGGAAGGGGCTGTGGTGGTCGGCTCGAGGAATGTGTCATCCAATGTGCAGCTGCTTCGAAAAAGGCAAATTCCATGCCAGGTATAATTAGAGAATAAGGGAAAATAAAACAGCCGGTATCAACTCTATGGCGCAACTACACTTAAAGTCCCGTGCACAGCTGTAGTCACTGATCCTGATATGGAAGACTGCGAAAAGTTGGGGAAAGTGAAGGGCCCTAAAGGCACCATCCGACGTGCTGCCGGCAGGAGCATGCAAGCCACCGCAGGGCCTCCTCCGCCCTGACCGCGCTCGGGACGGCGGCCCGGAGGGCGGGAGGCTGACGCAACTCGCCGTGAAGAGGCGGCGGGCAACCGGGCCGCTCCGCTTGCAGAAACGGCCCGCGAGGGGAACCCGGCGCAGGAGCGGCCCCGGCGGACGCGGGAGCGAGGCGCGTCCGCCACGGGCGGGCAGGGGCCACGGCGGCCTCCGGCGCGGTGCCGGCGACGTCCTACGGGAAGGGTCGCTCCGGCCAGGGCCGTGCGGCTCCGGCTCGCCCGGGGCAGCAGGCCGTGCGCCCCACGCCCGGCTCGGCGACGGGGGCAGGAGCGCCGCTCACCCCCGGTCCGGCCCCGAGGCTCCTCGCGGACGGGGCCGCGCGCGCGGG